TTTTGCTTTACTGCTACATTTCAAATTGTTTTACAACATTTTGTATTTAAATCATTCATTATAAGGTGAATACCTACTTGTTTTCTTCAAAAGTTTAAACTGACCATTTTCATTATAGTATGTGCAATTCACTACACCTGGAGCTAATTTGACTATGCTTCTAAATCAACTCACAACAAATTTTACTATGCTTTCTACTGACTTGACCGAACCGAACCAATTTGACTTTTTTTGTTACTTTAAGAACCAATTTGGTAGTGATTAACCTCATGGGGTGATGAAATTTGGACATTAATGTATAGTTTTTTTGTGATAATTTTTATTAGTAATCTGATATTATATTTTATTTTATTTAAACAGTTGTAGGACTATTATAAATTAATTTACGCTCACAACCAAGATGTTATCCACTATTAATCAGTGTAACACTATTAATCGCCAATTATTACATGTAAACGGGTCCAGAAGTAGCGGAAATTTTCAGTGTTTTAACGACATTTGTTACTACACTTTTAAATCTTAGTTTTAAAAAGTTATGTACTACGAGAAACTATTAAGTATACAATTATTTTGGTACACTGCACCTCCTTTAGACGAATGGCACACAACTATTAAGAAAAAATATTACTTTTTCTCTTTATGAGTGTCATCGATCGAAATATATGTAAACAAATTTAGTGAATTATAAACAGAAAGAGTAATGAAAATATAAATTAGCTTCTTTATAATACTTATGTTATTTTAAATGACGTTTAACGCAAGGAAATTTTCGGATAAGCAACCATTACTTTTTTATGGATTTGTCGTTGTCGTCACTACTTACTTTCTAAATAATTGCGTGAATTTATTATCAGATAATACATTAGATGCACTTGATAGATTTAATTATAGTCTACAATAGAAACATAAAATCAATGGAGACTTGATAAAAATAATCAATCGGTATTAAGAACCAGCATATATAGGTAGAGCTTGGAATTTACACTTAAATGACTCAATACGATATAAAGTAAAGTATGCTATTAAATCTAATTGATAAGGCAATATAATAAGTAGGTACGTGTATTCATAAACAAAAGTTAGAAGTTGGTAAATGCATTAAAAATTAATTTATATTTACATATTTTTCTATGACGATTTCATTGATATAAAATCACAATTTTTTAATCTTACAAGTACATCATAATAACAGTAGTGAGTTAAAAAATACTATTTTCAAATGATAATATTCCGCCTACATGGTACACAAATGACAATTACTTAAGTAAGTATAATCTATATAGTTACTAAACAAAATTTATGAATGTATTAATATTGACATGAATTAAGACAAATATTATTTGAGAATTATTATTCTAGAATATATTGTGGTTAGAGTAGCCAACTTAAATTGCAGAAAAAAAAATTTTTAAAGTAACCTTTGTGCCTTATCGTCTGAAAATTAACTTTCTTGCTTTACACTTTAAAACGTAGCCTTTTTGTTTATATGCTTTGAAAAGTATAGCTTCATTCCGTTAGGCTAATGATTATTGCGAGAGAGAAAGCTTCTGCGAGACATCCCTACTTGTTATCTTTTTCTACTCATGCGAAATTAGTGCACTTACAATAGATTAAAGAAAGATAACAAGAGAAGCTTTCTTGGCAGCTCTTTCTTTCTTGCGCCCGATATCACAATTTCACGAGCCCTATTACTTGCTCTATTCTTCTAAGTATCTTTATGTTTACCGTACCTTGTCTTCAGTACGATTAGTAATCAGTTTCATGAGTGATGACTAGCTTACTTTCTGGTATAAGCTGTATATTGTTGATTCGTAGGTTCCCAAGCAGAAGTAATCTTAGTAAATAACTTATCATAAATGATGAAAATTGGTAAAAAGAAATAACAAAGTGCAAATTTGTGAAATAGAATTAAATTCAGTAACTGTTCTTAATAGTTATGATTTGCGATTATTTTTTAATTTTTTTCATACGTGACATCTCGGAAAGTAAGAAAAAAATAACTTTAAATAGTAATAATACAAATAAAATAATAATAATTATTATAATANTCTCCATCATCAAGAGTAAAAATAAAAAATAACTGAAAATTACTACTGGAAAGATAAAAGTTATTACTATCTGAAATTTGGACCCTGATAATATCCACAGAGAATCTATCGTTGGCCCCTTCATGTCAACCTTGGCCCTCTGTAGGGAAGCCTACTACATACAGAGTTCCTTACGAAACAGGGAGACAGCCTCAATAGATTTCTGCTCGGTCTCTATTTTCTCGACGTTCGTTCAAGAGAATATATGCTTCTTCCAAACATTAGCACGTGGTAAGAGACTGTTTGAACGACTGTTGGTAATTAAATATTTTTACTTCATAAATGTGATGTGGATCAATACTTATGAACATAAATTTTTTTTACCATCAAATATTTTCGACAATTTTAATTTCAAGTCTAAAAAATAGTCTCAGATTTTTGGTGAGCCATCAACTACAGAGTTGATCATATTCAAAAGACTGCACCTCACTTGTACACAAAAGGTACGATAGCTCGATTAAAAACGATATTAGTATTTTTGTCAAACATGAAAAAAATGTTATACTTCTACGAGCACTATTTTAGAAAAATTATCCACATTTTTAAAAGAATATTTTTCTTATACCTACATTATGTAGTAAAAGTATTGCAGTAATTTTTTTCTAAATAGGGATAGATATTAGACATATGTTTATTTTGAAAAAGTAGGTACCTATAGTTGGAGCCCGTATAAAAAAATATACTAACCATATGCTTTTGAAATTTTTTTTTTTTATTGTCAGTTTCATATTTTTAAAGTTGTGGCATTTTTCAATAATAAAAGCTATTTCATTCTTATTTAACTTGACTATACTATGGGATTAAGAGAATCAGTTTAATTATTTAAGTATTATCATGAACAAATAAACCAAATTATGACGAAAAGGGACACAAGTTATAAAAAATAGGATGTGAAATGAAAAAAAAAAAAAAAAAAAAAATCATTTAACCTCGTATGTATCGTAAATTAATATTAGAAACTTAAAAAAAAGCTGTAAGGTGCTAAAAAATTATACCACTATAGAACTACACTTCGTTAAATTCAATTATTCCCGCGCTTAGCTGGGCTTATCTCGAACACGTTCAGTGTCATTCGGTTTATGGTATACCTTACCTACGATGTGTGTGGTACGTGAGTAACGTGAGTGTGATCTGGGACGTCGCATCGTCGCGTCGCATCGGCGCGGAAGTTAATTGGACAATTGGACTCTACGGAGTCCGTATCCCATCACAATCTGTTTTTTCCTCTCTAACTCGCAGTTTTGTACATACTTAAGTACATAAGAAACTCGTACTCGCGAGTGTGGTCATTTTATATTTTCTATGTCGATGTGCAATTAGCGGCATACACAATACCTACTGCAGTGCAGCGGCGCTCTCTGGGTACACTGTTAACACTGTCATCACATTTATCCTCGCAAGAAGTAGTATAGACGTGGAAAAGGTGGAGGCACGAAATGATTTGTCCTTGCAGTCGTCTTCCCGTGGCTGCTTTAGAAAAGGCCCGGACGATGTTGGTGCCTCGCTTCTTTGTCGCCGTACTGGTCACCTGCCTCTTGGTACGTACGAAACACGTAGATATTCTAAACAAAAACGCACACACCTGTAAACGTCATGCGTCACACTCTCTCTGCTCGAGACTAATGATAACTGCCACGAATACGTTGTACATATTGTCGCCGGAATCAGCTGTCAATGCTTATTTCTTGTATTCATGTACACTTTTACCATTATCACCGTATGGTTCTGTCATAACTTTTAGTTGGTGTGAATGCGTTATGCTGAACACATTGTAAAGACGGCTGCTGCAGTGGATCTCTGTACTTTTCTGCTTGTTTGTTTACCTCTTGCTCGCAATAGCCGTCTGCAAAGAATCTTACACATAACCTCATGGGTGCCGTGTAACCTTAAACTTTTGGTCATTAAATTGAAAAAAAAAAAAAATTTATTTCATCCAGTATGAGGATGCTATCTAGTTTGTGGCACTAAGAATGTGTTAGTGATATTTCTTTCATATTTTTCTACGTTGATAACACGGTGATTCGTTCAGAGAAATCGAAAGATTACACGTGTCATTTTTTCAAACTTCAGATATTCGAGCGGTGCTCCAATGTGAACGGCACCGCGACGCAACTCAACGATGACAACGTGGATATGACGTTAGGTGAGTGAATTGACTGTGAGATTGACATATTAACGCATACAGAACTTATTTTATTTGTTTTTTTGACTTTCCTCAAGTATGCACCTATATAGTTATAACTTTTGGTGTATCAATATCTTTGTGATTATACAAGGAAATTTATTTTCTCTATCTGTTGCAGGATCTCATGAAATTGTTCTTGTTAACTTTTATGCGGATTGGTGCCGTTTCAGTAATAATCTTATGCCTATTTTTGATAATGCTGCAGCCAAAGTCAGAGAGGCTTTTCCAGAGCCTGGGAGAGTTGTGCTTGCAAAAGTAGACTGTGATCGAGAAAGTAAGTAAAATTTAAATACAAACATTTATTCATATATTTGGTTACTTTATATTATGCTCGGAATGTATTTACAGCTTATCTTATACATTGGATTGTCAGCTAACTCATAAAACTTATTCCTTAATCACAATACTCGTAATTTACAGGTAATCTTGCTACTAAGTATCACATAACAAAGTTTCCCACTCTTAAAATCATAAGAAATGGCGTTCCTCTCAAAAAAGAGTACAGAGGAAAGCGTTCTGAAGAAGCTTTTGTTGAATTTATCAAAAAGCAGTTAGAGGATCCAATCATTGAATTCCAACATATTGCAAACCTTACAAACCTGGATGATAAAAAGAGATCAGTTATTGGATACTTTACTTCAAAAGATACTCCCGAATATCAAATATTATCACGTGTTGCTGGAAACCTTAAGGATGACTGTCAGTTTCACGTTGGTTTTGGGTGAGTATTGATAAAGTTTATCTATAAGATTTAGTATTTTAAATTTTGATTTTACGCATTACTACTTATTGATAACAGAGTTTAGTACTCCTAATACACTGAGAGAAGGATTTTTTACCATCAACGTACAAGTATTTGAGCAGAAAATTAGTTTACATGTTTGTTATAACTTTTTAAATTTTAACTGACACAGACAGCATATTAATAGTTAACATTCCATATTTACGGTGAACTGCGCCACGCCAGATGGCACCACGCGGGATACATAATGTACGTAAGTTAATCTGGCATATGTAAAAAATAAAAGGCCAATAAACTATATTAAGAGTTACGTAAGTTAATAGTTGACATATGAAGTTAATTACTAACAAATCCTTCTCTCAGTGTAGCTCACAAACTTTGAAACAAATTGTTTTTTCATTCTGACGCTGCGTGAAAAAGTTTTAATTACCTATAAACAATGTTAAAGTATTGAAAATTTTCACTTGCTTACATAACTAATAAACGCTCTTGGACTTATTTCGTAAGAATTTTCATATAACACGTGACCTAATCAGACCTATCTAATTGGTTCTCAGCAAATTTCTACACAAATAATCATAGTCAATTTAGTTTCAGGGTCATTAAGAACCATAGTCAAATATTGGTATATACCATACCAATTTTATATTCTTTGTTTTTATATTTATCACGCAATCCAAGTTTATATACAATTTTATACTATACAAGTTTATAAATAATCTATTACCACATTAGATTGAGAGATCATTTTGCTTTACTGCTACATTTCAAATTGTTTTACAACATTTTGTATTTAAATCATTCATTATAAGGTGAATACCTACTTGTTTTCTTCAAAAGTTTAAACTGACCATTTTCATTATAGTATGTGCAATTCACTACACCTGGAGCTAATTTGACTATGCTTCTAAATCAACTCACAACAAATTTTACTATGCTTTCTACTGACTTGACCGAACCGAACCAATTTGACTTTTTTTGTTACTTTAAGAACCAATTTGGTAGTGATTAACCTCATGGGGTGATGAAATTTGGACATTAATGTATAGTTTTTTTGTGATAATTTTTATTAGTAATCTGATATTATATTTTATTTTATTTAAACAGTTGTAGGACTATTATAAATTAATTTACGCTCACAACCAAGATGTTATCCACTATTAATCAGTGTAACACTATTAATCGCCAATTATTACATGTAAACGGGTCCAGAAGTAGCGGAAATTTTCAGTGTTTTAACGACATTTGTTACTACACTTTTAAATCTTAGTTTTAAAAAGTTATGTACTACGAGAAACTATTAAGTATACAATTATTTTGGTACACTGCACCTCCTTTAGACGAATGGCACACAACTATTAAGAAAAAATATTACTTTTTCTCTTTATGAGTGTCATCGATCGAAATATATGTAAACAAATTTAGTGAATTATAAACAGAAAGAGTAATGAAAATATAAATTAGCTTCTTTATAATACTTATGTTATTTTAAATGACGTTTAACGCAAGGAAATTTTCGGATAAGCAACCATTACTTTTTTATGGATTTGTCGTTGTCGTCACTACTTACTTTCTAAATAATTGCGTGAATTTATTATCAGATAATACATTAGATGCACTTGATAGATTTAATTATAGTCTACAATAGAAACATAAAATCAATGGAGACTTGATAAAAATAATCAATCGGTATTAAGAACCAGCATATATAGGTAGAGCTTGGAATTTACACTTAAATGACTCAATACGATATAAAGTAAAGTATGCTATTAAATCTAATTGATAAGGCAATATAATAAGTAGGTACGTGTATTCATAAACAAAAGTTAGAAGTTGGTAAATGCATTAAAAATTAATTTATATTTACATATTTTTCTATGACGATTTCATTGATATAAAATCACAATTTTTTAATCTTACAAGTACATCATAATAACAGTAGTGAGTTAAAAAATACTAACATTATTATTTGCATTTTATTACTCGTTTAAAAAAAATTACGTTTGAAAACCAGTCGAGATATTATTAAAGTTTTTCACCTCGTCTGTTCTTTCGTTTTGATAGCAGAACATGATTTTTTTATGATTAACTATTTTTTCAAATAATAACAGTTAAGTTCATTTTGGATATAGTTTAAAATTATTTAGTATCCAAATTGACATGCTAAATTACATAGTTGTACTACAAAATGCGTACTGTAAACTCAACAAAAAACTGCATCCAACATCAAACACTGCTTAATTTTTCAAAATATGATTATACCAAAATTATAACTGGATTTATTGCCTTGAAAACGTTCCCTCGATGTTACATTTGTATCAACATCGAGTACGTTGCTTATTGAAACATTACTGATATTTGATGAATGAATAATCTTCGATAGACGCCGACTAGTGGTATTTCTTATTATCTCTATTTAATTATTTCAATCGTTGAAATCATCATATCTGATTAGTACGTGTTTTTTTACTCTAACTATTTTTGTTTCATTGTTCTACGTCTATTTATATACGTATTTTAGTTGACGATACTTATAGAAAGAAGCTTAATGTGGAATAATTCTCAGAAGCCGTGTAATATTTTTCTGAAAATAGTGTAGTGTAGAGAAAGCTAAATTAATAGGCTGATAAAATAATTTTTTATGAAAATAACGCATAATATGAAGTCATTAAAAATTTATTTATTTTTAATATCATGTTTTTCTTTAAAGTTAATATCAAATGAACTAATATTTAAATATTCTTCATTTTTTTCCACTCTATAAGCTTATGTTCCGAAGAAAAATGTGATATTACGGAACACTTAAAATTGTTGTAAGTAACTTGAAAAACATTAACCATAAAATCTCAATGTTGGTATCTGTTTTTTTTTTTTTTTTTATCTCTTAATCATTTTGTAGCGACCCTAGTAGTACAGATATTTTTGATGATTCATATTATTTTTATGTGTAGTCAATTTCTGGTAATGAACTTCAGTAGAATATTTATTTGGCAATTTTTATTAACTTATCACATTAATTAGAAAAAATTTTCCCTCCACATGTTTGTTACCTACATTAATAGTCATATTTATAATAATTTAGAGATGCAAGTAGGGAAATGCATCCTCCTGGTCAATCAATTGTGGTGTTTAGACCTGATAAGGCTATATCAAACGAAAATGATGAAACATACCATGGTTCTCTACTTAATTATGAAGAGTTGAACAAATGGGCTTACAGTAAATGTATACCACTTGTTCGAGAAATTACCTTCGAGAACGCAGAGGAATTAACAGAAGAAGGCTTGCCATTTCTCATTCTCTTCTATGACCCTAAAAGTGATTCAATTACTGTTAAGCAATTCAAAGATATTGTTGCCAAATTTATGGAAGATGATAAAAGTGAGTACACGATGGTGGTGTGCATACAGACCAACTTTACTATCCTCAATTCTACAAATATTTAATTTTAATGTTTGATGTCCTAGAGAGGATCAATTTCTTGATTGCCAATGGACACGATTTTCAACATCCACTTCACCATTTAGGAAAATCAATTAAGGACTTGCCACTCATAGCAATTGATAGTTTTCGTCATATGTATTTATTTCCGGAAAATCCAATTGATTTGACGAATTTAAATGTCAACCGACTAAAACAATTTATAGAAGATTTGCACTCAGGTAAACTCCATCGAGAGTTCCATTACGGAGTAGAGGCGCAGGCTCCCAGCATTGACACTGAAAAAACCCCGACGACGCCACCAGAATCGACGTTTAAGAAATTAGCACCTAGTAAAAATCGTTACACTCTACTTCGCGACGAGTTGTAGTATTTTTTATCTTCGATCTGAAGTGATTGTCAAGTTTGACGAATTGTAGCTGTCCTTCGATAGCGATTGCAGTTCGATAATAAGTAAAATGAAGCAAGTGAAATGTAAAGAACTCTTTCTGTAATACTCTAAGTACTGTTAAAACTTCCAGCCAGCAGTGGAAATTGTACGTGTTTTGAGTTAATTGCGAAGCATTGTTACGCAGTGTCTTCTTTTTATTTTATTATTATTACTTTTTTTTTTTTATCATACCCACTCAAAAAAATCTTATAAAAAGTTATTCTCTTGGTTTAGAGTATATTAAAAAAAATATTCTAAAGTGATTGTATGCAACTGATTATGCGGTGTGAATGGCGTGGATGAAAAGTTGAATTTGTTAAGCAGCGAGTCGATGATTACCAGCCAACACCAATTTACAATTTTATTTAAATGCACAGATTTTTTGGTGTGATTTTCGTTGTTTTAAGATTTGTCTTATAAACCAACAACGAACTAAGCATTGCTGTTGTAAAACAGCTTATAAAGAAAATTATTAAATCCATATTGAATATTGTGCTATAAAATATAAAATTCAAGTGGTAATAAATTTTACATTGTTAAAAATTTTGAATATTGATCTGTTAGTTTCGTTTTTTAGCACCCATGCCACTGACTTTGAAATTACTAAAATTTTGAATAAATAAGTATTTTAAAAGATCAATCTAAATAAATCTCATAATAGCGACAGAAAACGCACAGAGATTTATCTTTCATTTTTTTATAATATTGTACAAAGTAGTAAATAGAATTGTGTATGAATTAAGACAATTGCCTTGAAAATAGAGGGTTGAGACATTTTTTTCTTGTTTGTGTAGGCGTGTTTCATGAACTTTTTCTCGTTTTAAATATTTTTTAAACCATTCCATGGATATACTAGCCAATTTATTAATTATTGGCTCATTTTAATTTTATAAAAATCGATGCTGTCACAAGTTCATTAAATAAAATTTTGTATGACTCAAAAAAACGTCAAAACTTCAAGTTTATATTAGGTATTCCAAGTTTAAAAGGAAATTTCTTCATCAAAAATATTACAGAAAGTATTTAAATTTCACAAATACGATTTTGTATACTGCTAATTAACTTTGGCATTTGAAGAATGTCAAATTTGGAGTACTTATGAAGTGTGACAATAAACAAGTAATATCGAAAAAATAACCAAGTGAACTTGTAAAAATTTTCTTAAATTACCAAGCTAATGCTGTGCATTCTAAGTTTTTACCTCCAACTTACGTATTGATAAACCATTTCTAAGTCATTAATGAATCTTTGAAAATTTAAATTGAAATTTATATCTTTGTACATCGTTTTTTACATCGACAAATAAAAGTCAAACACAATCAAACAGTATAAATTATCAGAGTTGTGTTATTTTTTATAAACCTTACTAAAGAAAACATTTCCATTTAAATAGTGACTAATTACCTACAATATTCCATTCTTTTTTTTTATATACAAGTTTTTTTCACACGTTTCAATTTTTTCAAGTGTTGGAGCAGGGACAGCATTCGTGGTGGTGGTAAGTAAATAAATAAAATCATAAAAACACGACGCTCGAAGTCCATTATAAAATGGCTGTATTTTGGGGTAGCTTAGATACATGGATTACATTTCACTTGTTATGTGCACGCCATCGCCTGCGTAGAATTTCGTGTTCTAAATCTTAGGATACATGACATTACACGTAACATGATTTACATACACGTAACATCACACATACGACATCGCACACAATCTCTCACTCTCATTCTCACGTTCTTTCTTCTATCACCGAAGCACTTTTTATGAGTGTTTTCTTTTCCTTGGCTTCCATCATCAAAATTTCTCGCTTGTATCATCTGTGCTTTCGAGTCTATTTTCACAAAATTTTTTGGATTTCAATATTTAAAAATGTTTTAAACTTGCTTCCTCAATTCGACTTCTTTCGTGTATAACATAACAATTGTATTATTTCTCTTTTGTTTATGTCTTATGTTACGATGATGATAAATATTTTTAATACTTTTTTAAAATAATCATTCTTTTATTTTTTTAAGACGAAACGTGGATGGTACATATCTGGCATACATTGACTCGTTATACTCCCTGTGTTTCGTGCTGTAAAGCTTCTTAAGAAATACTACATGCGTATACATATATTCGAATAATTTTTGTATAATTATTCAATAAATGTGGTTAACAAACGTCTTTGAAATTTAACTTGTTGACGGAAGGAGAATAAAAGTATTGGACAATAAATATACTGTAACGTTATACATTCGAAGTTTCGATATTTGTAATTTTTTTTTTTCCTTTTAGTATAAAAAGCGCAAGTATGACACATCCAGTGATTCAATCATTCGAATACAAGATGAGTACATACTTATTGTGTACGTACATAACAAATGTAAAAATATCGGCTCACGCGATAGCTAATGAACGAAAACTTTGAAAATTGTGCAGTACACAGGTATTTTAGTAAACAATTGTTTTTTTTTGTTCCAATATGCTCACGAAGCTTCAGAAATTGGGTATTCGTACAAGAATTGGTAACTTTTTTAGAATTTTTTTTTTTTTTTACTAGATTTACGAAAAATGAAATGTATCAGCTCAAGTTGAGGTCCCAAGCTTAGCTCGTGTGACACTTTACACCCTGTTTCAAACGTCTTCATACGCCAGCACGTTTCGCCATAATTCATAGTAATAGTTTTAAAAATTTATTATTCTTTACTTTTGTTTATTAATTTATATACTTTTTCTATCATCTCAGTATTTAAATTGTTTCTTATTTATTTTCATTGAAATATAACATTTTATATTCTAGAAAAATAACATCACTGCAGCCAACCACGAACGGCTGATTTCGTCTTATGGCTTCGTTTCATTTTTTCCTGTGTATAACACGTCTTCTTTTGGTTTATGAAATTACTATACTCGAAGTAAAAAACAATGAATCGGTCGAACTTTCAATACCCTCCATTTTTATTCTTACGTTACTGATGATCCTCGCAACAATGTTTTTGCTTATCGTTGTTGTGAAAATGCATCATCTTGTACGGTTAATGCACACCCAAAAAAATTGGTATTTTTTTTCACGACTTGTACTTGCTCCGTTTCTTTGTAGTAAATTAATGAAAGACATTATTTTAATCATTAACAATCACTTGTGCACGTTCTCTTTTTCTTGACACATTTTTCTCGTATATCGGCCGCGTGGAATATTGAAGTACTTTTTTCGTCTACCATCATATTCATAATTTTTTTTTCAACAAATACATACATCCCTAACATACTTACTGATCCGCTAAAACATGCTTTGGTACGGGTTCATCGAAATCATCTTTAATCCACATAAGTTTTTTCGTAGAAAAAATAATTTAGTTTTCAGATACGTATTTTATAGAATTTTATAATTTCCTAGCTTAACATTTTATTATTATTATAATTATGGACAGTTTTATATTTACAAAATCTACATTTTGTAACTCAAACAAGTAGAAAATATATTCGTGAATTACATGCTTTTAACAATTAAAAGATTTTATTGTATTATATTCATCATATTGTTACATAAAACTTAATTTTGTCGTATAAAACGCTATCGTTTATAAAAGAAAAGTAAATTAAAAATTTTGTACACTTAATGTAATATACACAAAGTCTATCCGTAAGTTATCAAAAATCATGAAATTTGTCAATTATGATGCAATATTAATGCCATGTTGTAAATTTAGATTGTGTAATTTTCATTAATTATTTGTTAAAAAATACTTTATTACATCTAGGTTTTTTATAATATTCGTATTTTACCAAATTATTCATAAATACATTATTTAAATTATAATACGTAGCTCTCAAGTTATTTTTCAAGATATGCCATGTTATGATTAAAGGATTGACGACCTTGAAAATACCGATGAACCCGCGCAAAGCATATATGTTACGTCGATTGTTTGTGGATTACATTATAGATACGAAACCGCAGTCTCTGGGAGGAACTAGCCGTCGAAGAGCCTCAAGGAAATAAATATTTTTTATTCATGTATTAATATTTTATTTTTACAAAATGCACGCTTACGTTCCTTTAACAAAGTAACGAATCGGTATCCCAATTTTTTATTTTTTCATTTTATTTTTAATAGTAATAGATTTACGTTGAAGTGAGCTCTTCGTGTGATTTTTTTGCTAATATATTATGACTTTGTTCATTTGCATGCAACATCCATGTAATATAATATGTTTCTGTTTATAGGCTAAAAAATGTTTTAGCTTTTTTTTTCATTACAACTTTTACTGTTTTTATCCTTCCAGTAATTATCAAATTTAACAATAACTGATTTTTCATTCGCTTGACTATTATTTTTACTTATCAATTTTTTGAATTCTGTCAAATCCAATCAAGTGTTTGACCTCCTAAACTACTTGATAAATTGAATTTTTATAAGTATTACTTCTCATGAATGTGTGAATATCTTTTAACGATGCGTCGATTGTTCATACACTTGTACTACTTGGCTTTTATCGAACGCAATTTAATTCCCTTGTTTTTGCAAATTTATTCGTATATTGCAACGGGATTATATATGCCTGTACATTTATGTACTTCGTTGAAGCCATAATTCAGTAGTAAATAACAAAAGAAACGCTAAATTGAAAGAATAAGCGACCGATACTGTCTACGTTATATGTCATCTTTAATTGCATCCACTTTTTTCATGGGATAAACTTTTTGTTCCTTTTTTTTCCTCTTCTTTTATGCTTTTTCATGCATTTACGTCGAACGTTCAACATTTATTAACAATTAAGCCTTGCATCAAAATTTTTTTTTTATATTTTACCCCAGAGTTGTATCGTTGGATTTTTTATATGCTTAAATAGCTGTTTCAAGTCTTAGTTGTATTATTATTTTTTTCTTTTTTTTTCACTTCCATATTTGTGACTAAAACATGGTTGAAAAGTCATAAATAATTTTAGCATGGTTGATTAACTTTATTTTATTTCTACAGGGTACCCAAGTTCTATTTTTTTTTCTGGTTATTACGTAGATGCTTAACTAATACATCACACTAATATCTACAACGGCAGACTCAAAAAATTCGATTCGATTTGTGTTCTTAGACTTCTCCTTGATTTAATAAAAAATGTAAAGGCAGCTTATGCAAAATTAGAAAAAAGCTTAATCCTTGGGATAAACTGCTATATTTTTGGATCTGCTCTTTTAAGTTTTTTAATAACAATGATTGGCTTTTTTTCCTTTTTCTGTTTAATCACTTACATTTGTATAACTGTTTCTTTTGTTCTCGTGTACATGTATACTTTTATTTTATAACTTTGGCTTTCAAACAATGTCTGATATTTAGTCTGCCTTAATAATTATATTTAAGGTGTTTGAAACATGTGTTTACTTGCAAATATATAGGTCTTCAAAGAGAGTTCAGTGACTTTTATTTGATTACTGTGATGGAAGGGAGCAATGAGTACTCAATATCATTCTCATTTATCGATTGGCTATTTCCATTTAATTTTATCATTATCCCCAACAATGTGCTTTTATGTAAATTAAACCATGGATTAGTGTACGAATAAACTAGTGCGTACTTTCTGTTTTATTGAAGGATGCTCGTAAACGTGTGTTAATGTATTTAATCAAAAAATAAAATAAATTACGATTTTTTTTTTTTTTATTAACAGAATTGTGATTCACGCGAGTCACGAAATCGATCTTTGTACAACTCACGTAGCTGCTGATACTTATTAAAGCACTCTATGTATGTTCATATATTTATATTTTTTTCATCTTTAATTGTTATCACCCTTTTTATTTTGTTGATAAATTAATTATTTTTCAGTATTAATATCTTATAGAATCGTTTTATTACTGT